AATAGAAAATGCTTTTTTTCCCCCCCCCCCCCCCCTACTTTTGTGGGTGGTATTTTAGTGAGAGCTATGATGGTACTTGTGCTACAGATGTTGCCAGGTTTGGATGTTATGTGCTCTCTGGCTTAAGTTCCAGGAGAGGGCAGTATAAATACTTGAATTTGCAGTCAGAAGTTCTGCAATTACATTGAGGAGGAAAGCGCAGGTGAAAAAAAGGTGTTTCAGTAAACTAGAAGTAAACACATAGCCTGGGAAAATGTGAGTAAACTTAGCAGAAATACTGTATTAACTTTAAATGTAATAATATAAAGTGGGATAAATTAGTAACAGCTATTACAGAAAGAGTAGCTGCAGAGCTCAGAATAACTTCAGCAATTCAGTAAATACTAGGCTAAATTATTTCAATAAAAGTACTATCATAAATATAACAGGTCCAAACATAGGAACTACTGTGCTTCCTGACCATTAGTTTGCTCATGATCCCCTTATAAATTTACTTCGGAAGTTGTGAATGCTTAGCCTCCTGAATGACTAAACTGATTTTCTAGAAACTTTAATGCATTTTCTCCTTTTTACTGAAGGCAATACATCTCTGTAGCTTTTTTTTTAAACAATACTGGTCTAATTTGATGCTGCCACACTGCTTTTATTTCATGTCCAAGATTAGCTTACAGAACTTGGATTTATTGATCTTCAGGGAAGACTAAGCCCTGTCTGTTCTTGCAAGCATCTAGAGGAAGCTGTTTGCTGATGAGTCATTGCAGAGAGACTTTCACTTGTTCAGGGTGGGATGATGGAATTCTTACGAGGTGTTCATGTTCACAGCTTCTGTGTATATTAACTGATTATATACGGTACAAAAGACTTACTAAACTCTCTATCTGTGTAGACATACCAAAAAACCCCAGCCCTGGCTCGATATAAAATACAGTATGATTGTAATACCTAATGTTACTGGGAGATACACCTTAAAAACTAGTTTGACTGCTTCATTCAAGGATAGAATTCTTTTTGGGTGAACTATTAATGAAGTTACCTAATTGGAGCTAATATAGACATGAATTGTCACTAATTTTCGTATTTACTCATTAAACATTAGGCTATATTTGTAATTTCTGTAACAACGTAGTCCTTTTCCTGGTGTCTTAGTTAAATTTGAGATACCAAAGTGCGCTTGTTTTTTCTAGTTTATTTAAGTTGTGGTAGCAGAAACGTTTAAAAGCATTTGCTGTATGGATTAAATCAGTGCACAGAATGTTTAAAAATATTCAGAGGTAGCTTTTTGATATATTAGATCTGTGACTGTAATTGTCTTAAAATATTCCATTGTAAGCTTAAATGAAGCTATAATAGGATGTTACATCAAAGGTGCACCCTGCAGGTATGTGATAGTGAAATATATCTGCAACCTTTTGAACTACATTTTTTCAGTCAGTCTCGTTTTCTAATGATGTTCTGTATTTTTTGTTTGAACTTCTTACTTATTTTATGTCCTTTGTGACTTAAATGGAATTGTATTTGTAAATAATTGCTGTCCTTTTAACCTTTTAATATCTAAGTGTTGTGACGTCGAAGTAAATAGATTTTTACATCTAACAGAACTAACCTGTGGAGCCTGCTGTTATAATTACTCCCTTATATAGATACAGTATGTAAGAATAATAGAAATTCCAGATGGATATGCACTGATCTGCTTAAGCATGACATCAAACTTTTCCAAAGGACAAAAATGGCTAAATCTACCAAGTTTCATTTTTTTCCAGAACCTAATCACTATCTGGGGAGGGAAATAAATTCCTTTGAAGTCTAGATGTGTTAATTCGTTTCTCACTTAATCGATAGCAGAATTTCCAAATTACTTATTGGAGACAGAATATCTGACTGGGCAAGGTGTTGCTCTGTTCTGGAAGGGTAGTGATGCTTCCCTTGGCTTTCAATATCTGCTCAGTTTTTGCAAATGGAGGAAAGCTAGGGTGTATATCTTCCACCAAAGAGAGTTCATAGTGTTACATGCTACTTCATACAGTACAGCTGCAGGGATTTAACACGCGTATATTAACAGGCTGGAGCCAACAAAGCTTAATTTCAGTAGTATTTAACATACCAGTACTTAACCATACGGTGAAAGCAGAATGTTTGCTTTGGGTTGTTGACCATATGATGTTTTGAGTGTCCCAAGATCTGTCTTGGGGTTAGGCTGGAAACTGAGAGGCATTGGCCTTGGAGCATCACACAGTAGTTCATGCAACTTGGGGTGTCATAGATAGTGTAAATTCAGGGGTCTGAACTCTCATTCTCTACAGAGAATAATCCCACTGAAGAGAATAATTGATTGGAACATGCAAAGTCTTTTCTTACTTTCTGTATTTTTTTATCTAGGGGATTATCTATGGTTTTTGATTGTTTTTAGAACTTAGTTATGATTTTCTTGATCTCATCAATCAGAGCACAATAGCCATTTTCTAATTTTAGATGTGCTTTGTCAGTGAATCGAAGCTAAAACATATATCACAAATGCTTTTCCTAAATCTTTTTCCAAAAGTGCCTCGAATCTTGGACTTTTCTTGATCACTTGAATTAGATTCTAAAGAGCATGCTTCTGTTTTTCACGCTTCTGAAAGCTTTTTATTGTTGCTCAACAGATGCCACAGTTGGAGAAGAAGCTAAAAGAAGAACTTGAATGTAATGCCAGAATCATTGCCTGTCGTTTTCCTTTCCCTTACTGGATCCCAGATCATACTACTGGAGAAGGAATAGACACTGTCTGGGCCTATGATTTGAAGCATTCTAGAGGATGTGAAACAAAAAACTTGAAAATTACACCAGATACAGAATCCTAAACATCTGATTTGTTTTTGTACTGAAAATTTTGGTTTTTATTTCACCTGTTAGCGGAAAGATTAATGTGAGTAGAGCCCCAGAATATGGACATGTATATTCACTAAAATAACTCGGGTACACTGGTGTCATGGTTTAACCTGGCAAGCAGCTAAACATTATGCAGCCACTCTTGCTCCCTCCCCTCCCTGGTGGGATGGGAGAGAAAATTGGCAGAGTAAAGGTAAAGAACTGTTGAGATAAAGACTATTTAATAATTAAAGTAAACTAAACTGAAATAATAATACCAATGAATTGTAATAAGAACAGGAACAGCAATAATAAAGCAGTCAAAATTATACTCGGCTCATGTGCAGCAGTCACTGGCTGTATGCCAACACAAATGCAATGAGGGAGAGAGGTAAGCTTCAGGAACTGAGAGAGGTTGCTGTCATAAAGGAGAAGGGAAGGGATAAGAAGGGTCATCCCCTTCAGACTCTCCAATTTATAATGTGTGATGTTTATGGGACAGAATACATCTTTATTGGTCAGCTTGGTTCATACCCACATTGTCTGTCCTGGGTCACCTGTCCCAGAGAATCCTGGGCTTTCACTTCCACCACACCCTCTTGTGCAAAGAAAGGGGGAAAAAACCCCAAAAAACCCAAATGAAACTATAACCATAGGTGCAGGCAAAAGACTGAAAAACAACCTTGGAAAATGTGAACATCTGCTGGTGAGAACTAAACAAAAAAAAATTAGCTACTGCAAGGAAAATAATTCTATCCCAGCAGAACCAGGAGAACTGGTTATCTGAAAGCACACAGAGATTAGTGGAAAATGTAGTTAAAAGGCTTAATGTAGTTAATGAAAATTATGAGAGTTTTCTTGAAGTGGAAAACTTTAACATGGAAAATGGGTTAAAACACCGTTCACTACTGTTAAGGGGAATATATGTAGAAGTTAAAATGCTCAAATGGGTGAACTTAATACGTGCATTCTTTCTGAGCCTATATAACACTTTTTACTGGTGTTGGAAGTGGTGTGCAAGTGGCTTCTCAAATGAGTCGTGGTTCCCAAATGTCTTCGTTATGTGTGCTAAGTAGGCATAATGCTGCATACGTCAAACTGATGCAGATTGAGTATGATGGTGAAACCAGTGCTTTACACCTCAGCCTCGAATGTGTACTTTTTAAGGTGGAATATGACACAACAAGCAAATATATAAAGTTGCTTATTCATTAACACAAGTACAGCCTGTGATTATATTAATGTATTTTTATGTAACTTGTTATGTGAAGACAAAACTGCAGAAATGTGCTTTTACTGAAGACTTATTGGTATAAGCCTTTGCAAATGACCATGATTTTTCCTAACCTCTCTGATGTAGGAAGGACTTCAAAAGTCACCTACTTATCAGTAAAGTGTCACCACTTCTGTGTGCTTAAAGTGTGGATAAGGTATGGGTGAGAGTTGCTTACTTGAATGTGTCATGAAGATGCTCCCTGATTCCAGAAGTAGTTGGTCTGGCTAGCTTGGTTAAATCTGATTGGACCTCATTTAATTTATAGTGAGATGGGAAGGGAGGTTTTCAGTCAGGCTTCTTTTCCCCTATACTTTTCAATGCCATCTGATGAGATCTCAGAAACTCATGGCATTGCTGCATGGCTTTTTTGTTGGAAATGAAGTGAGTACTCCCTGACTTTTTGCTGATATAGTTTGGGCACTGTCACTGCTGTGACATTTTCCTTTACTAGCATGGTTACAGCACTTTCCTATTTTGTAGCAGTCTGCTTACTTGGTATTTTGGTTCCCAGGTGAAGTTTTACTATTTCCACCTGTGAACAGTTAGTCAAAGTTGATAGTTGGCCTCTGCTGGCCCCAGTTAACACACAGACTGTTAAGCAGTGATGTAAATTTGTCAAATCTTTACATATATAATAACTTTAGAAAGAAGCTAAAAGAGACTTGGGAATTTCCACTGACTGTCATTACTACAACTAAAATTAGCTCAGGCCAAGAGAAGTGCTGAGACCCTGCAATTTCAGGTAAATACAAAGCCTGTGACATTTTATTAGGCATTGGGAAAAGGTGTTAACTGAACTATAGTGAAGTATCTGACTTGAAGAGAAGTTAGATGTTATTTGGGGTGTGTAGTCTGCAGTTACACCTGTACTTAGGCCTTTTACTTTTGGTGGGAGGGGAAGACGAAGGAGAATTTAAAATACAAATCTACACTGAGGAATTAAAGTGTAGCAGTAGAATGGTTTTGTCCTGATAATGTATACAAAGCGGGAGAAGAAAGTATCTGCTCTGGAGCCTGCAAAGGAGACGTGATTTCAGCCTTGCATGGCAAGGCACATGGAGACTGTATTGAAGAACACGGATTTCAGGTAAGCAGTCTTCTGCAGCCTTTCACTGAAGTGTAACATAGTGCATCTTGTGAAACTGCACTGAACTCATTCTACTGGAATTTAAATATTATTACTGTGACACAGACAGAACAGGGCTACAGGGGCTTGTCTGAAATGTCTGAATTTACTTTAATATCCCAAGGCCATAAAGCTGGAACCTCAAACAAAGGAAATCTTAAATTACTTCTGCTGGAAAAAGACCACAAAAAGGGGAAATTAGCTAATTGGGTAGAGTCCTTCCCTGAATGATTATAAAGGAGAAAAGGTGGAAAAAGATTTAGATCGAAGAAATTGTGACTCATCTTAAGTTCAGTGCTTTGACCCATGTTTCTGCTGCCTACTTTCACTAAAATTAATTTGCGATTAATGAAGTGGATATTTACTTTTCATGCCATGTTTGACTACATATTTATCCATTGCATTATCATTTGCCTGTTTAAAGGTAAAACTGAATTTCCTGAGTCTGGCTGTGGTAAAGGCTTTTGGGTGTGTACTTCTTAGTTCCCTCCTATCGCTCCAGAAATATTTGTAGAGGATGGTGAGATAGAATTAATGATGTGATGGCCTGAGCTTTAGGAGCAGTAAGTGATGTCCTCAAGGCACGAAGAGATTTATGAATGCTTTTAAATTAAAGCAGAGGGCTGTTTCTTGCTCTGGCTGTTTACTTCTAGGGGCCTACACTGAGGTAGATAATTTTTACTCAGGGAAATGTCCTGTATTTTCCGTTTCTGTGGTGGAAGTGTGAAATGGAAAGCAAATTGCTCTGACTTACACAGGGGTACCGGGAAAGCATTTCCTTGTCATGTTGTCCTCAATTTTTCTATCGCTTGCTATATTCGTTTGATAGTTTACAAGATTAAATACTTGACTGTGACTTCAGTTATCACTGTATGGATTATTATTTTGATACACTTCAAATTCCTAGGGTAATGTTTGTGATTTTGTTGAGAAGCTACTTAAGAGTGCAAATTTGTGTCTTCTGAAAATCAAGAAGGCCTTGGAGAACTGGCTTAGTCAAATTATAGTGTAGGTCTGAAGCCAGAAGGAGGAAACCTTCAAGCTACACGTGCTGTTCAATACTGAAGTAATTCAGATGCACCGAAAACCCTATAGTTTATCTTTCTTTGTCTTCTAGTAGAATCGCTCGCCTTTAGGAAGTTACTTGCTTTATTCCTTCCTTGCCCTGCCAGATCTTAGCAAAAAAGGTGCTGCATTGCTGAATGAGTGATGTTTTCCTGAAACACTGTAGAATTTGATCTGTTCGAAAATAATACAGCTCCGAGTTCTCCAGCAATCAGGCTTTCAATTTATTTTTTGTCCCCCCCTTAAGACACATTATCTCCCCGTGGGCTTTGTGATGCAAGATCAGTTGTACCAATGCAGTGTCTGAGTGCTAAAATTCTAATTTTGTAGTTTTCTTGTTGGGATCCATGTGAGGAATGGGCTACAGCACACCAATATGATGCTCTGATAGCCAATTTATTACATACAAAGCATGATTCTTATACATTTCCAGCATTCTATGCACGCGTCTACCTGACTCCTAATTGGCTGCATACATGATTATCTGACTCCTAATTGGCTGCATACATCTTGCACGCGCTGTCCACGCCGGCTAAGCTAATATATGATTGGTTAAAACTTCTCCGTCTCCAGTCCATTTTGCCGTGTTCAGTGCTTTCTTTATCTTCTTTACTTCACGGCCAGGTTTCTTTTCCCAAGCGCTAAATGTTGCTTTCCATATCACAACTGCATGCCTCCCGTCACGTACCCTCACCCAGATTTTGACTGTCCTCTTTGTTCTTTGTCCTACTTTGGCCAACTGAGGCAGTTACAGTGTTTCTATGGCCGAGGCCTCTACATTGGTTACAGAGTTTCTATGGCCCAGGCCTCTACATTTTCTATTTAGCATAAATTAGCTTTCTAGGAAGGAGAAGAGGGGTATGAGAGACATCTGCAAGGTGAGACATCCGATATGCAGGTTGCTCAGTATAGTGCATAGTCACTACAGCTACGCAGCATTGTCAACCAAGCTTGTCCCAATTTGTTTGTGAAATGTGCACAGACTTTGTGAGCTTTAGGCATTTCTGTATTATTTGGTGTATTGAAGTTCTTGACTTATCCTCTGTATGCTGCCACTTAATCTAATACTGCCTCGAGGAAGTTTGACATCTATGTTTGACCTAAAAATTACCCTTGAGTGAGATAGCTGCAGAATTAATATTTTCAGTATTTTCATTTGTATGATGATCTTTCTATTCGTCCTTGTATGCTTTACTAGGGGAGACTTATACATAGATAGTTACAATTTTTTTCTTCATTGTTTTTCTGAATTCTCCCTCTAATTTAAGTGTTTGCTTTTATTTTTCCTATTGTCTTTTTATGATTTGATGACTTCATAAATACAGATCTTCTTGTTTCTTTTTTTCCTGTAAACTAGTTGCCCTTTTTTCAGCTGCTTTGCAGGAAGAATAAATATGTTAAGGAATGTCCTTTTTCTCACTTACATTTTAACACATATTTAACTAACCTTTTTGATTTATTTAGCAGTCGGGATGCTGATATAGCATGACTTTTGTTACCAGTAAATGAAAGAAAAACACATCCAC